TCACACCTGCCTGCAATTACTGGAGATTACGAAAATGCTCTCTAGGGCAAATGGGAAGGCTGTTGTAACTGTTTAAAATTTTCATGTTTTGTACATTTTATTTTCATAAAAAAATGAAAGTACTCTTTAATAATATATGAAGAGTAATATATATGTCTTATTATTAAAAAATGCTTTCAAGATTTGAGTATATGCGATTTAAGTTTGTAATATTATATATCGCAAAAAATATACCGTTAAAACTTATTTTAGGCAATGAGCTTAAAAATTATAGCTATAACACGCTAACTAGTTATAAAAAGAAGTTTAAAACTAATTGTGGACTACTTTGCTTCTAACATCACCTTCAACTACTTAGCGAACCGTAGCATTTTTCCAAATAAACAGCTGATATTTTTTTGTTTTAGATGATGATAATATGCCAATGTCTTAACAGTTCCAAATAGATCAATTATATAATCTAGCTGTTAATTAAATATGTATGTTGTTTCAGCAATAAACTTTCAGAAACTCTCCTTTTGAACGAACTTTAAATAAATCGGTATAAGCGTTGAGCTCTTCCGACTAGTTCAATTTTAGTCAGCAATTTCTAGTTTGACAACGGTATTTTCAACACGTTTGACTAGTACCTTCTAGTATATCTATGCGCATACATAATAAAAATTTCTACAAATAAATTCCATTCTATTCAATGAAGTGGAAAATTTCACACTTTTGCTAACGCTTGGGAAAAAACTAGCCAAGCACCAGCATTTCTACAATGACAGCAAAAAACTGCTAACTTCGTTAAAAAAARGAGATGCAGGAAAACTCTTAAAAATATGCATATATACCCTATTATTCTCTGATATTTTTGCTTTTCGCTTTCCGCAGAAAATTATTATTAAATTGAATGTACTCTTTCGTTCACACATCCTTCTTTATGTACATGTATGTGTGCATCGAAAATGAAACTGCGGCTAACAGCAGTGCTTGCATGGAAGTATGTAAATGAGGTCTTTTAATTGACTATCATAGCGCTGTAAAAGTTTCGAGAGTGCGGAGAATACACTTCAGTTTATATTTTATATCTTTAAGCTTGGTTATTATGGTATATATATATTCATAGTATATGGTGTAAAAACAGCAAAATTGCATATGCGAAAAATATTTTACAGATCATTCAGACCAACCATGCCTAAAAAACTATGAGCCTTAAGAGCCAGAGATTTTTAATCGGTAGTCAAGCTGTTAAGGATTATAAAAATGTGTGCATAAATTCTCGAGACATAGAAATGAAATTTAATACAAAGTTAAATTTAATAGTATGGTCAGGGTTTGTGAAATCATCCAGATTGATTAACCATAGCATACGTGAGAGGATATATGCTCTAGCAAGGTTATATCCCCTACAACCCTTTATTTTCTCATCGAAATGTAACCTTTAGAAAGCTTTAGACAATTATGGTTTTTAAATGGATTCTAACCGACTCTTAGAGAAGCCCATCAATGTTTCTCATCTACATATAATACAGTAAGGCGATAGCACTTTTTCTAATTGCAATTTATTTGTCTTTTGGGCTATGTTATAAACTTGTTTACCAGTACCGCCAAAGGATCGATTCGAGATTATAAATTAGGTTTTAGAAATGGCACAATCGCACATTGGAAACGTTTAACGCTATCGAAAGCTCTGATGATTTTGAACTAAGTAAAATAATTTCTACCCAAACAGACATTGTCGGTTATTATGATTAAAAAATATGATGCGATAGCCCATAAAGTGAGTAGTTCTTCTATCCTTGATATACCAATCTAATTTCAGGAAGGATTTATTATTATATTTGGAAGAGAGTTCGGCCTACCAACAAACGTTTTTGTTTTCAATCGGAAGTTGATCGAAAAACAAAAACGTTTGTTGGTGGGCCGAACTCTCTTCCAAATATGGTGGATGCTGTGATGTTATCCGTAAGTGAGAATCTTGACCACTTCTCAGTAGCTGAGTGATATTATTAGACAAGATATTGGTTCGAACTACGGTGCTCCAGAGGGACAGAGTACACCACCGTGATCACAATCAAGCAAGTTAATTTTCAATATTTTGACCTATTTATTGTTATAAACAGCAACACCTGTCGCAAATGGTAAATTACAGCATTTCTTTATTAAATGTCAATCAAATCAACGAGCAGCTGATCGATAAATAATCAAATACGCCACTTTCCAAAACACATGTGTCACTGACACCAGACGCAGGGCGAGTGCACATCGGCATTGTGCTGCATCGCGGTGTCAAAAATGTTATGAATACCGCCAAGCCCACAAAACACAACAACAAAATGTCGAACTGCTCGAAATCATTATGCAAATAAGGTTTTTTATGTGCACATAACTGCATATAAGGCAGCTGACTATAGCACCGACATTTAATGCTGAGGTTACATTATCACACCGTTGCAGGATGAATAAAAAGGATATGCGGCACAACGAGAAGTATGTGCAAAGGAGAGAACAAGCGCGCAGTGCAGCTACGATTGCTGGCAAACTACCAAAGTGAATGAGCACAAACAGGGCACGCTGCGGCAAAGCCGTCGAAAGCAGCGGCTATATAGACACCACCAGACTAATGCAAGCATACATAAATACACGCTATCTGCACAGTTGAGCCGGGCCAGACCGGGTCACCACGTCGGCCGGCAGCGAGACAGGCACTCCGTCTGCCAGCAAGTCAGTCACTCAAACATGCACGACATGCAGTCAGTCAGTCAACCAGTTAGATTGGCTTGCATGCCGACATGTGATAAGGTTAGTTAGTGCAACTACCGGCAGCACAAAGCGCTTCGTCAAGCCTCGCCGACGATAATAAAATTTGGAGGGGAAAGTAAGAAAACAAATCGATTGAGTAATCTACCGAAAAGAATCAGCATATATATATATATAAGTATGTGTGTATACGGCTTATGTGCATACGCTTTTAGCCGGTATTAGATGTGTATAAGAGACATGTGCATACGCTTTTAGCCGGTATTACGCTTAGGAAGCGACAGAAAACCACCAAAAAGCAACAACAAACCGCAGCCATAAGCATGAATCACCAGAGCCGCTGGTGCACAGACACTTTTCACATGCTAAACATAGCCGCAAGAAGACATACATATGTGCCGCTGTACAACCCGAACGAGCCGTGCGGAGATTCCTTACAATCGTTAAGTAATAAAATCACTTGAACTGTTGTAATGCCAGGCGGCAGCAAACCGAAGCGAGCTCTCGTAATCGGTGCTTGTGCTTCATTTTTATTTTTGCTCAGTATCTATGTAAAAATAAATATGCACAACAAAAACAATAGCAACAGAAGCCGGCACCGCAATCGTCACGTTATAGCAGGACATGCACGACAACCCCATAAACGCAACGTGGTTGGTCGAGGACACCGACGTTCATGCGCGGCCTTCCAGTGAGTACTATATATGTATATATACAAAATGAGTAGTCAAAATGAACGCTTGCCTGCTGTGTGGTGCTTCACTATATATGCGCTCTCTTTCTGCCTTGCTCTAGCACTCTCTCTAACAGGCTGTATAAATATTCATTTCTGTGGGTGTTGGGCGCAAAGTGTAGTGTTGCCACTAGTCTTACACAAATAAAAGTAACCACTTTTTGACTTCGCTGCACTTTGTTTTTGTTTGTTTTGGCTACCATTTCACTTGTACGTACGCCGTTTCGTCCGACCATATGGTATCGATTTTTCTCTTATGCCGCATTTTTCGAACTTTAGACTTCTCGCCTTTGCTCTCACGTTCGTTTTATACTTGTTTTTTCAATATCATTTGTGTGCCTTTTGCATTTCATCACATCGTAATGTTGTTCCCCAAATTTATAGCAACCCCGACTACACTTTCCCTTAAATATTTCTCTCACTTAACCACATTGCCTTATGATTTAACTCGCACATTTGCAACACATTACGTTAAATTAAGAAAATTGCATAAATTGGAGCGCTTCAAGTCGTATGAAACATTAATAATGACATCAATAAAATTGATAATATATTAAAAAGCTTACTAAAAGTGGCACGTATTTAAGTATGTAATATATTAAAGCATACATTTAAGGGCAAATACATTTGAGGAGCTTTGGGAACATTTGGGTCTTGCGTTTACATTTCGTTTCATAAATTAGTTAGACATTTTTGAGCATCTCTAGTATATTCATAACATTTAATGTGAACAGTGTTTATAGTAAATTCATTTCGGTCACAAAAATTACCGTATTTTGTAATATTATTATATAATATAAGCAAATATTGTACTTATACATTCTACTAGATCGATTTTTTAAAATCCCATATCCATTCATGTGAATGACACCATCGGCACAAAGACTTTTTGTAGGTTTGTAAAACAAATAGTAGTTTTTTGGACGTCTTTTTTATTCACACCCTAAGTGTAAGCTTCACTTCTTGCTCAATTTTTCAGCGTAGCGGAGAGCGTTGAGGATATATCTAACTAGCATTCGATAGCCTGTGCATTCAAATCCCCGATTCTCGCAAGCGTATTGAGAAGCGAAACTTTGCTGCAATGTTTAAAACACTGTGAGATAACAATTGCTGATCCATTGCCAGTAAACTTATTAGTGCTGCGGAGTTTCGAAGAAAGCAGTTACTCTTACTTTATTGTCTACAATTAGAAACTTTTGCGGCGCTCACAGAGTTTTCAATATTTAATATCGACGATCATCTGTCTGTTCTAAGAAATTAATTTTCGGCCGCCATGGCAATTCATATTAAGCTGACATTTGGCGTCATTTGATTTCATTTTTTTTTTTGTTTTTTTTTCAATGACAAATATGTTGTAAGAAGCAATGAAAACTTGTCACGAACTGTTTATCATGCAATAATATTTTGAACTGTTTGCTATGGGTGCTGCTGATGAACATTAAAAAAGCTTAAATACTTATTTATTTACATCAATACATACATACATATATACAATAATGTATGGAATACATACTGCTCCACTCACCTTGTCGACCGGCATTGATGGGCACGCTCTACACAAATTCCAAAATGATCCGATCATAAGGAAGGTTTTTACTTTGTAGCACTAAAACTTATTCGGAACCAAACCACCAGACACAGAATTCCCGTTGGTTAATCAAAACGATGACGATGCCGAACACTAACCAGAAATGCTTGCACGAAACACACTGTAAATATCCACTATATTTCCGGCTGTTGGGGGAATAGGGTATCTAACGCTGTTAGGGCGTGGGTTAGTGGTTCGGTTGGCGCCGATTGATGCGGCAAATGTGGCGCCGAATATATTATTACGTCTTCAAATCCCAACCAAACGAAAACGACAGCGTTCTGAACAGACAAAATACACAAATACTCGGAGCTGGTTAAATATTTATGTGGGCATGCGTGTGTATGTATATTATTTAGAACTCTGTCTTACTTTTCGCGTTTCTATGCTTTCGAGCGGCTTGTAAGAACGTTTCCTTGACGGCGTTTAGACTTCAAAGTGACTTATTTTATTGCGTAGATGGCGTTAAGGAGGCGCAAAAACCCCGTTATGGCTGAGTACGCGTCGCTGAAGTGAAATGTGCGTAGTTTGTTTGCAGTGTTTTTGCCTTTTTTACTTTTTTTCTCAGCAATTCACTTTGTGTGGCAGTTGCAGAGACACAAATTCATATATACTCATAGATGTGTGTATGTGTATGTGTGCAGGTAGATTGGCAGCCAGATTGAACAACTGACGGCAACAATGTTTCGGCAACAACAACAACGTGTATAGTGATATTAAATTAAAACGCTTGTGTGTGGTTGTGATGTTTCGCTTTCAATTAGTACACATACGTATGTGTATATGTAAGGGTGTGCTCGTGCATACACTTCTAAATAATTCGTTTACGTATACAATTTGGAAGTAGTCTGTATGCAGATAGACTTGTGTGTGTGTGTGTGTGAAAACGTGTGGGCAGAATTGAGTTTTCTTCGGGGACGACGTGGAAAGAAAGTGAAGGTAAGACTGTAAAGGCAATTTAATTATTTATAGCCAGCGCCCGTGAACTATTGTCTTCTCCACACCAAGCGCAGAGGCTTGTGTGAAAAATCGCAATTTACTAACAAACACTCACACCTACATACATATGTGTTGCATATTTCGTAAATCGCACACGACGCGTTGATGAGCGCAATAAATTTGATTGCCTTTGGGTGTTCCGACAGTGACGTTGAATTTTTAATGCCGTCAAATTTGTTTCAAAAGCTGAGCGTGGCGCATGAAGAGAAATGTTGCATATTCCCTGGCGCTGAACACATGTACTACTATAGACAATATAGCCATAGATGATATCGGTATAGATTGCAAAGGTGTCAGAGCTAAACTATCAAATGGTGCATGTTAGATGATGGTGTGAAATGCCATTTTAAACAAATTTTTTTTGTTTTATTATTTTTGAAAATATTGTTCATTTATTAAAATATTAATTTACCAAGCATTTAATCGAAATGTTTTTACTTTACATTTTTGTTCCAAAGATAAGATATTCGTCTATGCAATCTGAACTTGTCACTGCTCTACGAATTTGGCATTACCTTTTCAACTCCTACCTATAATTATAACCGATAATTATATTCTGTTTACTGTTAAACACACTCTTTATCAAAATAATGTAAACTATTTCCTAGCAAAAACTAGATTTCATTACTAATTTAATACTGGTATTTTTCTTGCTTTTTTTATAGAAGAAACTTTACTAATTTACTATATATTGGGTAGTCGAAAAAGTCTTTCCGTATTTCTAATTAAATTTTTTTCTAATTTTGTTTTGTATTTATAATAATAAATAAATAAGCAAATATGTAACATTTTTGGGCTACTATTTTTTGCCACTTTTCCGGTAGAGACATTATTCCATCAGTGTAAACCGAAACTGATACAGCATTGTCTCCGTAAACTTCACAAATTTCATTGGTGGCTTAAGTGACAAACTTCCCTTTTTTGTACAAAAATTTCAAAGTAAAAGCGAACTACTTCATTATTTCCACTCATTTTAGAACAGCTGTAACTTTTTTTCAACTTTCCCGAATTTAATGTCTTTTTTGTTAAATGAAGCTTAAAATCTCACCTTTCCAACACTATGTGGTATGACACAATGTGAATGGTACTAGTGGAGAAATGCGACTACAACGGCATCTATTGACAAAATACGAGAAGATTTTTTCGACTGCCAAATATATTTTTCCTACGTAAAGCTTGAAGAATTGAATTGAGTATAGTATTTGTGAAAATCACCTGACCCAAAAAATTTGACATTGACCACTACATACATCCCATTTAAACCATTTCAAATTTAATTTTACCTTGCAAAGAAAAAGTATTAATATAAAACTTGAGACAACCCTCTTTCAAAAGAACCAAAAATAGAGGATATTTTATTGAACAAAGTTGGAATATTGAACGCCTATCACATCCTTAATATTTAGAGATTCGGTTTCACCTGCCGGAGCGCCTGCTAAAGTCTTCTCTAATATACTTTTGGAGCAAATTTCGTCTGTGCACAGATCAAAAATCGATTCATAAATAAAACGATTGTTACAACTATAAATTCGGCTTCCAAGGACCCGTCTGAAGAGATATCGAAAATTGCATTTTATTGAACCATAAAAACCTATTAATTTTTGTTGCTACATATTTTGCCTCTAAATATGTGCATTTGTATGTGTGAATATTTTCGATATTTACAAATATTGTCTATATATTGAACTGCCCAAAACAGTAAGTCTTCCAGATTGTTAAAAAGGATGGAAAATGATAGGCAAAGAGATAAAGTATTGAGGGATTTTTATATTTTTACTACCGAGTGAAGAAGAGACACTAAAAATTAATATATTTTCAAGTTATGCCACATACGCGTATATACGCTTTTTAGCCTAGAAGTAGGCAAGAAATTTACGACATAACAGCTGCTTATTGAACTGCAAAGCCCGAAGAGTTTCACAAACATCACATTTTGTTAAAATATGGTAATAAGCATAAAACCATTCAAAACAAAATCGAAATCCACATTTTTAACTTTGCACCTTGCAGTGCAAAAGACTGAAAGAAGCTTAGAAAGCATGCACACATATAAATAACATGACGACTAGGCGCCACTGTATTGGCATTCACGTACATTTATAATGGAACGGAATGTATTTGTAGTGGTAACAGCGCTGGCGATGGTGATCTCACACGCCCGTTCGCCGCTGCATGAAAATTTCCATTATGGTACACAAAAACGGTGCCATCAATTGCCAAGCCGTCTGCTTGCCTGCCTGCCCGCCGGATGGCCGTACAAGCTTTTATAATGCCGTCCGGCCTAACGCTCTGCTTGCCGTCTTCGTTACAAATCGATTTTTATCGTTTTCAAAACCTAATTTTTTCCACATTGTGCTTATAAAAATGAAACTACAAGAAATGATATGTTGTTCCGCAGTTAGGGTGTGAAAATGCAAATTTGCTTAGCTTTGTGGCAAAATCGATATGCCGTTGGACGAGCTAAGCGATCGACCTGCGAGCTGGCTGACTAATTTCGTGCATATTTGTTGGTCTGCTGCTTGGTTGGTTGTTTTCTTGTTTGTCCTACAACTTGGCGATTTGTCTGGCTGGCACCCAAATGTAGGCAATCAAATTGCACACTCCGTCAAACGCCTTGTGGATATGTCGCACTCATTCACACACCGTAATTTTCCGCCTATACTTTCACAAATTTCAATTTTTCTCACGGTTTCCGTAAATTTTAACTGATTTAATAATTATTTTCCAAATATCAATGCAAATCGCCTCAGATTTTCTGCATTTCAATCCAGATTTTCTGCTAAGTCGCAATTTACTTCTTGCTCTTCTGTTTTCATGAATTTTTTTCTTGGATTTTCGCTTCGCAACGACGCGTCCGCTAATGCACGATTAACAACACGACTCGACGACGGTACGAACACGACTGGTCCCTTTGCCAAATTGACTTTCAGCAATTTCGACAATCGCAGCTTGGCTGGAAGGTTGAATTGGCTACGGCAACTAGCGAAAATGAACGTCTCTCCGCCATCCCAAATAGCGAACGGGAGTGGTTTGTGTAGCCAAAATGAACCGCTCAAAGCAATTGTTGCTATTGCTTCCAATGACGGTGATTGGCATTGCCCCGACATGTGTTGTATTCGCATTCCGCTTTGTTGTTGTCACTGCTGATTGCCGCAGTCATATGGTTTGAAATCGCCGCACATGCAAAGCCCGATTTGGGCGCATACTGTACATACTTATGCCTTGATTTAGCTTCTTTTGGGCGAAGGCAAATCATTGCCCTTTTAGTTGTGTGTTTTGATGAGAAACCACGGGCGCAGAGAACGCACAAACATAAACGGAAGTTGTAAATAACCAGAAACGCATAGGAAAATGTTTTGTATACCCAGATTTGTATTGCTTGTTCCGCTGGTTTAAACGAAAATAAGGAAATGGTAAACGATAATAGGTTTTCCTCAAAATTTGCACTCTTAATCCTACCAAATTTATATCTTCGCTATATAACTATAATCCTATTTTCATTTAAGGACTGCACTGGGTTCAGTTTAAGTCGTGTATTTCTGCTCTCCCCAAACTATTTTACAGATTCAAATTGAAAAGGGAATCTTCATCCAAGTACAATGCGGGGATGAGCTGAAGATTTTACGCAGAAACACCTGGACAATAGTGCCAACTTAATCAGACCCGCGCAGGGACACTCTTGTTGGTGCTATTTTGGGACAAAGCTTTTCTTTAAACAAGATTTTATGGATTCAATGCCCTTCACCCAGCAAATTGAAACTGGATTGGACTTATTATTCATACATCTACTAGAAAAAGCTCAGCGCTTTTCCAGACGAATCGTTCCCTGTTATTTCTTACTTCAAAACCGCTTTGAATAGATAGTATTGTTCTGGTAACGTCGATCGAAAAAGCGGTGCAGGCTCGAATTAAGTCCGAGAGTCCAAGTTAAATTATCATACACAATTTTTCTCACGAATGTTGTCAGACAGTTTTCCCGATAAAAAATAAGCTATTCAGAAAACAAAAAAATTCAGACCTAATGTAACTCACAAAAATGAAGAATAATATTTCTTTGTAAGCCGAAAAAAAAATATACTTATGGTTCTAAAGTTTAAAAATCATTAAATTTTAATCAACTACAACTATTAAATTATTAAATGTTTGCCTATTTAAAACCTATGTATGAATGTATAGTGTGTATAGTAAATAAGTTTCTGTACCATCCACCAAATAGTTGGCAATTCGACCATACACGAAAGTGTACCAGAGAACTTAAAACCAGAGAACTTAAAACATAGAGAAGGTGCAGGTTCGATGTCGAACAATTTATAAGATTGTGACAGGGAATTCACCTCACAACCACAGAATTCCCGATGAGAAATGTTAACATTTTTAACAGTTCTCCACATACTCAAACAGAGAATATGAAGAGAAATAAATATATGTATTTTCGGCCTATAATGACATGCCAT